GGGACGAACTTTTTCTATTTCTAAGGTCCTAACGGACGTCCATGAAAAATTTGATCATTTTTTTCTCTAGTTATATAAATAAAAGAAATTCATGGGCCATAACACACGAAAATTGGTTAAATCTGTCTTTTTCTTCTTTGATACTCGTTTGAACTTGAAAATGAACCAGTTTTTCGTGCAAAACAAGCTTGTTCAATTTCTCAGGTCTTAAAGAACGTCTATGAAAAATTTTAGTCATTTTGTTTCAGGATTTTCCAATCAATAAAAATTCATTGGCTAAAGCATAGAAAATCGTTAAAATGTGTCTTTCCCTATTTTTAAAGCTCGTTTGAACTTGAAAATGAAATATTTTTTCCCGTGGGATGAACTTGTTTCATTTCTAAGGTGTTTACGGACATACATGAAATTTTTTAACCATTTTCTTTCAGGATTTCTAGGAAATAAAATTCATGGGTTGCACACGAAAATCGGAAAAATCTATCTTTTCTTGCTTTGGAGCTTGTTTCAACTTGGAAATTCTCCATTTATTCCCGTGAGATTAGCTAGTTCGATTTCTAAGGTAAAAATGGACGTCCATGAAAAATTTTGGTCATTTTATTTCGGGATTTTCAGATAAAAAAAAATCTTTGCACTATAGTACACGAAAATTAGTCAAAACTACCTTTGATCTTAAAAATGGACCATTTTTTCCCGCGGAACAACTGGTTTCATTTCTAAGGTCTAAACGGACATCCATGAAAAATTTTGTCCTTTTTTTTGGCAATTTTTAGTTAAAAAAATTCATATTCTATAGCACACGAAAAACGATAAAATCTATTTTTGTCATCTTATGGGCTCGTTTAGCTTTAAAATGAACCATTTTTCCCGCGCAATGAATTTGTTCCATTTTTATATTCTTAACGAACGTCCTTGAAAAATTCTAGACCTTTTATCTCGGGACTTACGAATAAAAAGAATTTGTGGACAATAGCAAACAAAAATCAGTAAAATCTATTTTTGTCTATTTTGGCTCTTTTGCTTGAAAATATAATATTTTTCCCCGCAGAACGAAGTAGTTCTATTTCTAAGGTCTTAACAGACGTCCATATAAAATTTCAGCCATTTTTTTGGGATTTACGAATCAAAAAAAATGCATGGGCTATAACATGTGAAAGATGATAAAATTTATCTTTGTCTGCTTTGGGGATCGTTTGAACTTCAAAATGCACCATTTTTCTCTGTGTAATGAACTGGTTCCATTTCTAAGGTCTTAAGAGACATCCGTGAAAAATTTTGGTCATTTTTTTGAAATTTCCAGATCTAAAAAAGTTCATTTTGTATAGAACATGAAAATTGGAAAAACCTGTCTTTGCCTGCATTGGGCTTGTTTGAACTTGAAAATACACCATTTTCTCCTAGAAGGAACTCGTTTGATTTCTAAGGTCTTAACAAACGTTGATAAAAATTTTCGGTCATTTTGTTTCAGGATTTTCAAATTAAAAAAATCATGGGCTATATACAAAAAAAAATTAGTAAAATCTGTCTTTGTGTACTTTGAGACTCATTTGAACTTGAAAATGCACCATTTTTTCCAGCGAGAACTGTTCCATTTCTAAGGTCTTAACAAACGTCCGTGAAAATTTTTGTCAATTTTGTTTAGGGATTTCCGAAGAAAAAAAATCAATTGGCTATAGCACGCGAAAATTGGTAAATTTTGCCTTTACCTGCTCTGAGACTCTTTTGAACTTGAAAATACACCATTTTTTCCCGGAGTACTAACTAATTCCTTTCTAAGGTCTTACCAGACATCCATGAAATAATTCGGTCATTTTATTTCGTGATTTCTGTATTAAAAAAAATCTATATGCTATAGCACAGAAAAATCGTTAAAATAAGTCTTTGCCTGCTTTAGGCTCGCTTAAACTTGAAAATGCACCATTTTTCTCCGCTAGACGAACTTGTTCCATTTCTAAGGTCTTGAAAAAATGTCCATGTAAAATTTTGGTCATTTTATTTTGGGATTTCCGAATAAAAAAAATATTCATGGGATATATATCACATGAAAATCAGTAAAATCCATCTTTGCCTGCTTTGTGGCTCGTTTGAATATGAAAATGCACCATTTTTCCAGCCGAGAGAACTGGTTCCATTTCTAAAGTCTTAATGGACGTCCATGAAATTTTTTGACAATTTTGTTTTGAGATTTCCAAAGAAAAAAATCAATTGGCTATATCACACGAAAATTGATAAAAATGTATTTGTCTATTTTGGGTCTCGTTTAAACTTGAAAATACACCATATTCCCCGCGTTACTAAATGGTTCCATTTCTAAATTTTTTATAGACTTCCATGAAAAATTTCATTCATTTTATTTCGGTATTTCCAGATGAAAAAATCTATATACTATAGGACAAGAAATTCGTTAAAATTTGTCTTTGCCTTCTTTGGGCTCGTTTGAACTTGAAAATGTACCTTTTTTCTTCGCTAGATGAACTTGTTTCATTTCTAATGTCTTGACAAACGTCCATGTAAAATTTCAGTCATTTTATTTTGGGATTTATAGATAAAAAAAATCTGTAAGATATAGCACACGAAAATCAATAAAATCTGTCTTTGTCTGCTTAGGGCTCGTTTGAACTTAAAAATGCACCAGTTTTACCTGCGAGACGAACTGGTTCCATTTCAAAGGTCTTGACAAACGTCCATAAAAAATTGGTCATTTTGTTTCTTTATTTTCGTATCAAAAAAATTCATGGGCTATAGTCCACGATCTATTTTGGTGATTTAGAATTTTGATAATTTTTTCCCCAAATATTTTTTGGACGTTTGTTAAGACGTTAGCTATGGATTCAATTGGCCCTGACGGCCAAAATGACTTATTTTGAAGGTCAAACAAGCATTAGAAAATATAAACCCCCAATTTTGCTGATTTTTGTGTACTATAGTCCATTAATTTTTTGTGTTCTAGAATTTCGACGTCTTTTTTGCCCATATTTTTTGTGGACGTCTATTAAGACGTTAGTTATGGAATCAGTTGACCTTGACGATCAAAACATAGGGGGCCTCTCTTCTATTCGACCAAAACATGGGGGGAGCCAGTTAGCTATGTCGATTTTCATTTCTATAGTCGATGAATTTTTTATGATTACAAATTTCGACGGCTTTTTTTCTCAAAATTTTTGTGAATGTCCGTTAAAATTTTATCTATTCAGTCTTTTGACTCTAACGCCCAAAATGACTCATTTTGAAAGTCAAACGATCCCTGGAACACGTGAACCCCTTATTTGTCTATTTTCTTTTGCTACAGACCATGGTGTTTTTTGGTGATACAGAATTTATACGGCTTTTTTGTGCAAATTTTTTGTGGACGTTTGTTAAGACGTTAGGTATGGAGCTAGTTGGTCCTGACGGCTAAAACGGCCCATTATAAAGGTCAACGAGTCTCGCATTTGGTAAACCACCCAATTTGCCAATTTTCGTATGTTATAGTCCATGGATCTTCAATGATCCAGAATTCTGACGTTTTTTTTGCTCAAATTTGCCGACATATGTGTGTTATAGAATTCTAACGTTTTTTCTGCTCAAGTTTTTTGTGGATGTCTGTTAAGACGTTAGCTATAGAGTCAGTTGGCTCTGATGGCCAAAGCAACTCATTTTCAAGGTCAAACGAGCCCCAAAGCAGGTAAACCCCTTTTGACAATTTTCTTGTACAATTGTTCATTAAATTTTGGTGATCCTGAATTTCGACATCTTTTTTGCCCAATTTTTTGTGCATGTCCGCTAAGACGTAATCAATGGAGTTATTTGGACATGACGGAAAATGGCTCATTTTTAAGGTAAAACTAGTCTCAAAACAAATAAATCCCTAATTTTGTTGATTTTCATTTGCTATAGTCCATGATCTTTTTTGGTGATCCAGAATTCTGACGTCTATGGCAAAAACTTAAAAGTTAAAACGCCTAACAACACAAACTAAAAATGGAAGCCTCAAAACCTAAACTAACCATCCTATTTGGTAAAAGATTACCTTCCAAAGCCAACTACGCTGACGAAATTCTCATATGAGCAAGTATGCAAAAAATGTTAGGCAATTCCAAATTTTGGTCAAAACTTAAAAGTTAAAACATCTAACGCCAAGATAAACTTTATTGTAAGCACAAATTTAAAATGCACGTCAAGATCTTAGAAAATATAATTTATTGAGAGACGTTATAGATTGCCTGAAGATATTATCGTGGACAGTTATTTTTACACCTCCTTGTCCTAGTCTTATGTTATCACAATTGTCGGCGGCAAAAAATAGTGTAGAGAATTATATGATAACCCTAGTGAGTTGAAGGAGGACCAATGTATAAAGGCGTTGTCGATAAATAAATATGTCTTTTAATTTGGTCTCAACTGAAATTTATACCCACAAACTTTACTTATGTACAAGTAAATACTTAAACTTCAATAAAGCTGAACAAATAGACATATTTTTTCTACATGTATTGTGTCATGTAGAACTCGTACTTGTTCAACTTTATACAAATTTAAATGTTTACTTGTGCACATCCAAAGTTAGAGTGCATAAATATGAGTTGAGGTTAAGTTAAAAGGCATATTGATGTATTAATTATTTCTTTTATAGATTGGTTCTTCTTCCACTCACTATGGTTATTGTATAATTCTCAACAATTTTTCGCCGCCGATAATTGTGATTACCACTACGAGAAGGAGGCATAGAAGTCACTCTCCAAGATAATATCTTGATGTATATATCTATAACGCCTCTCAGCAAATTATCTTGTCTAAGATGATGATGTGCTTTTAAGTTTATACTTGTGATAAAGTCTTGAGGTAAACATTATTTGAAACAAGTTAAGTAATATTTTCATTTTAAACTAAAAACACTATACATGAATGTACTTCGTAGGATCATTAGAAAATTTTTTCATGACAATATCATTTTTAGTAGTGTATAATCTATTTAATATGCAAGGTTTTACAAATTTCAATTTGAATAAAAAAGAACAAAAAAATTCATGAGTGGACTATAGAATTGAATTTCCTTCCTTATATAGTAAAATATAAGGAAACATATTTCCAAATGAAGGCTGACAATAGTGACTCCCAACAAATTATTGACAATATGAACAACAAAACAAGTTCCTCAACATGGATAGCAGAACTATGCTAGCTAGGGTTTCTCTAGGAAGCATATCCCCTTTCACATTATATAGTACATCAAAATGCCTGCAAAAGTCCATCAGTCTCTAAAAATAGGAACCAAAGGAACCCTATAATGTTATGCTCTCTTGGAATTTCATGCTTTTTCTTTTCTTTTTCTTTTTTTGGAATATTTGGTTTTAAAGGAATAAAAACTTATTAAACAAAATGAAAAGGAAACCTCTAAGTCATTGAGTACCATCTTCTCATCGACCAAATATCCATACCTAAAGGACAACCATATACAATCTTAGTCAATTGGAACTCTGCTCCTCTTGAGACTTACATGCTTAACACTGATGGTTCTGTCAAGTTCAGCTCTAGTATTGAAGAAATCAATGGCATTATTAGAAATCATAGAGGGGATTGGCCCCTGGATTCAATGTCAAGGCCCATAATGGAAGAGCTCAAAGCCCTACAAGGCTCATGGCTAGCTATTCAATACAATCTTTCCCCCTGTTGAAATCAATCTCGACTCATTAGAAGTCAATATGCATTCTTCTAGTATTCTTGTGTAGTGCAGATCTTAAATGCAACTGGGAGAGGAATCGAATGACTCATCTATTGAGCAAAGGAGTAAATTATGAGTCTTTTGTAAACCCTACTATTTAGATAGTTCTACCAAAATATATTTGAATTATTTAGATAATGATAGAATAATCTTAAATTATAGTATAACTCAGGATAAATTGATCTTTTACCATTGTAAAAAAATAAAATTTGACCATTTTTGCTTTTATAAGTATAACTTTAGTTGTCAAAGCTTTTAGTAAATTTAAAAAAAGTTAGATATTCAATTTAGACAAATTCAGTTCATTAGTTGCTAAATCACATTGTTTGATACTCATTAAAAAAATTATATAATCACAAGTGATTTATTATCATGCATGAATCGGGATTGCTACTTTTTGGAAATAATTTTTCTCTTATTACTACTCCTATATACAAGGAAGACACCACTTTTGTAGTCTAAACATTAAATATCTTGTCCTTTTATTCAAAAAGAAATCAGTAAGACCTAGAATATCTAATAAATTTTAAGAACTTTAAAAGAAATTGTATGCTACTAGAAATTATGTTTTCATGAAAAAGTTTACAATGATCCTACAAAGTACATTCATATATTAAGTCTTCAATTTATATGAAAATATTATTAAATTTGTTACAAATAATATTTTGTCTTAAGATATTATATATTGTAAGCAATAACCTAATGCATGTCAGTATTTTAGACAAAATAATTTACTGAGAGGCATTATAGAAACATACCTAAAGACATTATTGTAAAAATCACTTTCCACAATAATGTATTCAGACATGTTTGTATAATGCCTATGAGTAAATTATAGTCTAAGATCCTAATGTGCATTAAATTTATGCTTACAATAATGTCTTAAAGTAAAATATTATTTGTAACAAGTTAAGTAATCTCAATATATGAATACACTTTGTAGGATTGTATAATCCTTTTCATGACAACATCATTTTGAGTAGCATATAAAAATTCCTTAAAGTTTTTAAAATTTATCAAATATGTATGATCTTACAAATTTCAATCTGAATAAAAGAGACAAGAAAAATAATGTGCAAACTACAAAATTAGATATTTTTCCTTATATACAGTAGTAATAAAAGAAAAAATATTTCCAAAAATTGCAATTCTGATCGACCTCATGTCTGATGATAAATAACTCTTGACTACATATCAATATAGTAATAATTCTTAATGAGCATCAAATAATGTAAATCAACAACTAATGAAGTGAGTGTATCTATGAACTATCATGATTCAAATTCAAACAAATAAATAGAATATCGAATCTTTTAAATTCAATTCAAAACCTTGACAGTTAAAGGTATATTTATAAGAGAAAAATGATCAAATTTGATAAAAGTTTTTTGGCACAAGAACTTACATGCTATATCCCATATGATTTGGTTTCTAAAAGTTTATGTTCTATTGGGCATAAAAATTAAGATACTAAAAAGGAAAAACTTAAAAATGTATAGATTTTTAATAATTTCATAAGGAAAGTGTTATGTAGAAAACCACTTGCCTCATAGTAGACAGACATTCTACCAGCCTTCTGCTTTGTAGCACGCCATTTCTTCATCAAGTTATCCAAAGTTCGAAACTAGTTATGTCACTGCACACTCCTTTGTCTCCGTGGATTTTTGAAAGCACCTAAGTATACTGCAGGATGGTTGTGCTCCAATGTGTAGATACCATTTGCTGCAATCTCTCCGAGTTCTAGACATGAGTGCAAACCATATGATGCTAGCAATATCCCAAGACCTGATACCACTCTTCAGCATCCTCTCAAACTCTTGCATTGCCTTCTCTGCAAGCCCATGTTTGCATAATCTCCAATGATCGAATTTCTTGAAGGGATGGACTCAAAAATGCAGGAAGCAACTTTTGTTTCTGCACATTTAGCATACATGTCAACAAGGGAGGTCAACAAGACTACGTCAAGATGCACATGAACTTGATTGCCTACCAAAACAGCAGAGTAACCTGCACATGCATCTAAAACAGTTGAATATGTAAAATGATTATGATGAGAACTCAAGTTCAATATCAACTTAAACAATTTCAAAGTCTTCATAACTCTCCATATTACACATACCCTCTTATCATTGCTATCCAAGAAACCACATGTTTCTCACTCATATCATCAAAAATGAATCGAGCTTCATTAAGCTTCTTGTTCTTAGGCAAAGCCAGGATTAAGACTATCGAAAAACTACTGGGTTCAAACAAATTCAAACAAACCCACGAACCCCACCTTGCTCTGCCTTGACCAAAAGCTCTTGTACCACACTTGTGCACCCAAACTTCATATAACATTCAACAACATAACATCTTTGTCCAAAATTTCATCAAAAACTCGACCTAAACCCCTGTAATCATCCAAATCAACATAACCCCTCATCAAATAAATTGAGACTTATCCCCAAACAGAGCACGAGACAATGAAGCTGAGGGATCAAATGTTTGTAATAAAAAATGCAAGAAGGAGCTAACACATACCGTGAAAGTGAGCTCATTGGTCTTATTTCTCCACATCTGTTCATTTCTCCACATCTGTTGTATACTTTCTCCGGCTTGTTGGCGTTGCGCTACCCAGAGAGAGCATTTGTGTTCCAAAAAATGACATCTCTATGAGGCATTTGATCGAACAGGTATTCTGCTTGTTGGATGTGACTGTGTTTGAAGTAACCATCGATAAGGGAATTTTGTGATACGACGTTTGTCAAGTGAGGGCTTTGATAGAAGAGCTTCGGTTTCCGCCTCCGATGAAGCTGTTGAGGGTACAAATTTGGCGGCCAAGAGCAAAGGTGAGCAGCACTCATGTAGTAGCTACCTGACTAGCCCTTTTAGTTTCTATTTATATGTCACTATTTTAGGTTTTACATTCTTATAAACTAGGTAAGTTTACTTAACTCTTATTTAGTGTTATTTTTAGAGCTAAGTTGTCAAAAATAGTTGGCCCAATCCATTCGGCCCAAGCTTTGCGGGCCAGATAATTTAATGGGCTAGGACAGGCCGATCTTTTAATTAGAAGGACATAAGAATATTCAACTCAGCTAAACCTTAAAAGGGCCGAGAGATTTGTCTATATATTTTAAATACATAATATTCACATAGATAGAATGTATCTAGAAAAAATTAACATAATTTTGAGTACATGTATCTGGACGTATCCAAATTTCATAAGATTCACATTATTACAACATAGTGTGTCTTTAAGTAATTAACTCATACACTAGAGAGATTTTTGTAAGTTACCCTTAAATAAATAGTTTTGGTACATGAGCTGACCTTGACCTCTTCCCGGTCAAGCATCAATGATCAAGAATTTATATGGATCGGGCTTATAAGCACTAGTTTTAAATGAGTTTCAAAATCCTATCTCAATTCTACCCCCAATAACGGGTTGGGTAGGGTGGGCCCCATGAGTTAAGCTCATTTTGACGACTCTAGTTATCTTGAAATCATTTTTTCAATAAATAAATATAAATTAATATATTTTGATTAGTTAAATTGACGTGAACATAAATTAATTATTTAGTTTTCCTATGTTTGGTCAAATTCATATCTTTAAACTAATAACTCCTAAGGGTAAAATAAGAAACTGTATGTCATTATTGATTTTTATGAAATAATAAGTATTGAAGAACATCTACTTTTAATAAGAATGTCATATGAATGGTAACGAAGAAATTCATATTATCTTATAGGTTATTATTCTATATTATACTTCATTTGTTCCTTTTAGCTGTTACCAAAAGTAGTTGTCATTTAAATAATCAAAAGATGTTAATTATCTTTTTTCAACTTTATCCTTAAAGTTTATAATTTTAGAATCAAGAGGCATATATATATATATATATATATATATATATATATATATATATATATATATATATTAAAGAACTAATAAGAAATGTATTCATCAAAAAACACTTTTTATTAATTTTTTTCTCAACATTGTGTCAAACCTTATAATGACTACTAAAAAGGAACGATCGAAGTAGTTTCTTATATCGAGCTTGTAGTGAGGAAAGTTGCTATTTTATAATTCCTCCATCCTAATTCAAATGTTTTTAGTTTAATTTGACACTTAACTTAATTAGGGATAAAAATAGATTTTTAAATCATATAATCATCTTAAATTAAAAGTGAGGCAATGAAACAAAGGTTCGTTTTAATTCTATAGTACGTACATGCATGGAAAAATGTTGACGCGATGGGTGTGCATGCATATATATACATTATAATAGAGGTGAGAGAAAATTCATACGATGAGTTTTGATAATGATTTCAAGTAAATATTACAATACAATAATAACTAATTAACTAGTTAGGGTTCACTAATTAAATATTTTATAGATAATTTTGTAAATTCTTTATATATATATATATATATATATATATATATATATATATATATATATATATATATATATATATTGTATAAAGACATCATTGGATTCACGTATACTCGTAATCAGAGCCAATGGTCCATTTCATACAAACTTGGCATTTCTGCACTTGTCCAATAATTGTGAAAGTAGTACTGATCATCCTCATCATGAGATGAATAATTATGAAGTTTCATATATGAAGGGGTTGAAAAATCACGAGGAATATTAATTCCATCCTCAAAACTAGACAAGTTGTTCCAAATATTACTATCATCTTCCCTTAAGAATGAATCTGTTGATGAAATGATATTAACATTTAGATATGCATTGATATTGTTAGGAGAATAATTCCCCGTCACGATTAATTCGAAATAAGATGAAGAAGAAGAAGAAGTCGGTATTTGTTGAGCCAACAGAGAAGGCATCCATTGATAGAGAAGGAAGTGTCGAAATTGTTGACTATTGATTTCGCAATGAAGCTCTTTTGCATGCTTTTGCACTTTGGTTCTCCAGTAATTTTTAACATCGTTATAACTTCTCCCAGGCAAATTCTCTGCTATTTTTGACCATCGATTTTTTATTTTTGAAAAAAAAATGAAATAATTATTACCATATCTTATCTCCCATGGTTGAAAAATCATTGACTATATCACTATCTTTTTTTATATATTAAATAATAATAATAATAATAATAATTGCTATCTATATATGTGTTCAACCTTTATAAAATACAATTATTTCATTTATTCAATTTATATGACATATTTTATACGTACTTAACTTACCTATTTCCGAAGCGAAAATGAAGGAGTAGAATAAGGACCTGCTCTTGAGGAGTTATTTTTCCTCGTCGTAAATTTGGCCGCAAATAATTCAACCATCTTAGTCTACAACTCTTACAGCTACGCTTTAAACCTATATATATCAATATATACGTAATTATTTTTTGATAATAGAAACAAAATATTATACACTGTATGCTTGTGATCTCTCTAACAACATGATATATCTATACCGGCAACGTGAGCAAGTGAATCCCAACGTCCTTGTCCAAATATGGAGATGGAATGGATGAGTTTAGAGTCTTCATCGGAACTCCAGGGTCCTTTATTCATCTCCATTGATACTTGCTTCATATTCAAAACTCGAATATTAATTAATTGTTATGAATCGATGTTTCAATTAGCTAAGTGACTATATATATAAGTACATAAAAGTGTCTTTAGTCATGAAAGTCCTTTTTAATTAGTTTGGTAGGTAGTGATTCTAAAAGTTTGAGATAAGGTTTGCATAAAAAGAGAGGATTGTGTACGTTCGTTAGTACCAATACGTACTGTTATTTGTAGTTTTGATGATTTGACAAACTTAGGGACCTTTTAAAGGTACCAGTTTCTTACTTGAGTATTGCAGGTTTCTTACTTGAGTAGTGCAGATGAAACAAACCCAGGGACCTAGTAGAAGTACCAGGCTCTCATGATGACGAGCCAGTTGACCGCGAGCTGGAGACGGTACATAAAGTAGGTGCACACTTCCCGATGGCGTCAGAAAGTGTGACTTTTCCAGCCAATGGCAAAGAAGTGTAGGAAAGTGACTTGACCATATCAAAGGCACTTTCCTAAACATTTTGTGGAGTTTTTTCAACTTGAGAGAAACCTCTTCAAGAACATTTGCAAAGGCTGCTAGAAAACAAAGGCAGAAGTATTCCAACAACAACATCAATCTCTGGAGCTTTTCGTATAGTTGTTTAGGAATACATTCTCTTGTTCGTAAACTGTAAATCATTCCTTAATCTATAAAGGAATTGTTGTGTAGTGTTAAAAGTCTAGGTTGTCCAAGTGGGATAACTTAGTGGGTAGATAGTTTTCTACTTAGGCTTGTTAAGCAAGAGGAACTATTGCTTAACATTAAGATTGATAACTCTTTCTTACATTTGGTGTAATCGTGTTTTACTTTTGCTTTTGAAGATTAGTAAAAACGATTGAAAATCCTGTGAGACAGGTCGTGGTTTTACTCCCTTAAGCAAGGAGGTTTCCACGTAAAATCATCGTGTTGATTTTACTGCATTTAACTTTCTGTTTTATTTATTAGTGTAGTAAGGGACCTGGTCCAATACTGCTTAAGTGAAGGCATACATTCTAACATGTACTAACTAGTAGGCATAAATATAATGAAATGTTTTGGAACAAGGAAAAGCGAATAATATTATCAAATTTAAAAATGTTTTCAATACGTTTTTTTTAATTAATTATGTATATTTTGCGATTAGTAGGCATGTCATGCAAATTTTCTACATATTATGGAACTTGTAACTGGAGAAAACATGTGCATGACCAATTTGGATTTATGGCAAATATATATACTGGTACATATAAAATCTTATAACTCATAAAACTCAAAGGAAAAATTAGATGAATTGATACATTTTAATAAATAATTATTGATTTTAGCAATAATTTTTATTTATTACTATTTAAAATAATATTATGTTAAATCTGTACTATGTATTAAAGGTGAATTATGTATGCAACATATATGTATTATAATTGTTTTTTGAAAATTATTATGTTTGTTTGGTAAAAAATTGACACATTGTATTATAAGTGTATTAAAATGTGTGATAAATGTATTATCCATCATTAAAACTTATATTTTATATTTGAATAATAAATTGTTCTTTGTAATATTTATTCAACTTGTACTGTAAATGAATTAAAAGTGACCAAGTGAAAAAAATGTTATTGTTATAAATGATAAATATTTTTTTTAGGATAGTTTATTTATGTAAGTTTCCCAAACATAAATGGACTTGTAGAAATTGATAGCGGACTTTTAAAACGGAGGAAACTATACGTAATGCTTCTGGCCCTAATATAATCTTTTTTTAAAAAAATAAAATTTGAATGTCCTCAATGACGTCAGATTCATGGGCTAATACACACGAGAAAAATGATAGAAGTCAGGTTATTATTATTATAATAATAATAATAATAATTATTA